AAAAAAAAAAAAAAAAAAAAAAATTACTTCATAATTCAAAAAAACGCATTTCAATTTTCTCTAGACTTTTGGTCGGCAATAATTTTATGGTATAGATCTCCCCCTTATATATAGTTTAATTCTTCAAAAAAAAAAAATTGTTCCCTCAATCTTGCCGTTCAGCAAAGAAAAAAGAAAACAGCGAGTCGCGCTGTTTAGGTAAAAAGAAACATTAGGGTTCTAATCATTCTCCTTCAAATTTCCGAAAAACTTGACGTCCAATCAAAACGTCTTATCAGCAACAATTCAACTCGACCAGCAAAAATTTCAAAGACTTCAACGAAACAAAGACCTCCTTTTGTTCGGTCCGAACAAAATATAATCTCTTCGAAATGCAAAAATCTCGTTTCTGTTGTTTGTTTTTTTCTTCAACGCATTTTTTTTATATTTCTTCAGGTTCTTTTACTTTTTTTTTACATTGCGGTTTCTTCTTTCCTTGAAGGAAAGACATTTTTTTAATTCGCTTTTATGATATCATCAATTTTACATTTATGAAAAATTGTTAATTACTTTTATTTTTTATTTAATGCATTTTTAAGGACTATAATATAGTTAAAGAAAGAAAGTTCGATTTTTTTTTTGTTCTTTTAATATTCTTTGTTGATTTTTTTTATCCTCCTGTAAACTATTATTCATTTTTTTTTTCTTTATGAAAAAAACCGAACTTCTTTTCTTTAATTATTATAACACTTTTTAACACACACAAAATATTTCTTTTATATGCTATTATTTTATAACTTTTTCCGACTTTATGAACAAATCTTCGATAATAGTTCGTTTTTCTTTTAAAAAAAAAAAATTTATTTCGCTTTTTTCTTATTTTATCGATTCTTTTTTTTCACATCTCTACAATTTTTTTTGTTTTCTCGTTAATTTTTTTCGTTTTCAATTTTTCTATTTTATTTTTTTCAACTTTTACTCGATCGAATTTTTTTGGCAAATCGTTAATAAATCTGAACAAATGGCACAAATTCTGAAAATTTCTTCGTACTAAAAAAAAAAAAAATTATTTTGTTCCTCGTGTGAAAATTATTTTTTTTCGTGTTTAATTAAAAAAATGTGTACATTACGTAAAAAAAAATATATATATATAAATTATCGTTATCATATTGTCGTGTAACAACCAACATTTATATAGATTGATTAAATGACAATCACTATTAAATGACTAATATTTAAAATTGCTTTTTTTTGTAAAAGAATAAAAAAAGGGTAAAAAAAAAAGACGCTCTGAAAATCCTTATACGGGAAAAAATTACGCGTTTTTGATCTATTGAAGTTTACAAGAAGTCGTACGACATAGAATACATAGTCGACATAAAGATAAGTGGCGAATTAATTAATAATAATTGAGTATAAAGTTGGTTAGGTCATAATTTCATAAATAAAACACGTGTTTAAAAAAAAAGAGAAATATTACCGATAGTCCGATACTACCGAAATCATCTTTAAATCTTAATCTTTAATCATCAAAAAATATCAACGAGACCGTTTTTTTATAAATGTTAATTGATTCAAATGATATAAATGATATTCAATCAAATGATTTTAACAAAATTTCATGCATGTATTTGACCTATCATAACTTAAAATAATTTAACTTGAAACAATGAACAATGGAGAAATACTTTTAATATTTTTTTTATTTTTTTTTTTTTCAATAAGAATAAAAATATCTAATTTTAATAAAAATATAGACGCGTGAAAAAAATTTTCATTGATGCGTTTTTTTAATAAAACTCATGTTTATGCTTTATTGTTTTTTGTTTTTTTTTTTAAAAAAAAAAAAGTTTATTTTTGAATGAAAATGAATGAGATTAATTTTTTT